TCCCCACTCCCATTCATCCATCCCTAAGAAACAGAGGATAGTCCTACATCAGTTTGAAAGGACACACTTTCTAGTCTCAGCATTAATTGGATCTTAGGAAATGTTGAACAGAGGGTAGGTAGGAAAGCTATATAGAGTTTTCCAGCTCTTCCTTGGATTGGATGATGACTTTTCTTAGCTTTATGTGAAGTGAAATTGCCAGAACAGCAGACCCATCTATGTTCAGACAGAAGTATAAAAGATACCAAAGCAGGCCGGGTGCGGTGGCTCATGCCTGTAATCCCAACACTTTGGGAAATCGAGGCAAGTGGATCATGAGGTCAGGAGATCAAGACCATCCTGGCTAACATGGCGAAGGCCTGTCTCTACTAAAAATACAAAAAATTAGCCAGGCATGGTGGCATGCACCTGTAATCCCAGCTACTCAGGAGGCGGAGGCAGGAGAATAGCTTTCATCTGGGAGGAAGAAGTTGCAGTGAGCCGAGATCGTGCCACTGCACTCCAGCCTGGGCGACAGAGTGAGACTCTATCTCAAAAACAATAAAGATAAAATAAATTAAAAACATATCAAAGCAAAAGAAAACATCATTTCACCATTTTGGATTTTTCAGTTTGTTGTCTATACTATGGCAGGTGCCTCTTTCTTGCTAATCCATTTTCTGCACCCAGCTGCTAATTCGTTTTCTACACCCAGCTGCTAATTCATTTTCTGCATCCAGGTGCGGAAGCGATCTTTAACTATGATCAGATCATGCCACTCCCTGCCTTCACCATCCAGTGGCTTCTCATCACATTTAAAATAAATTCCAAATTCCTTAGCTTGGCACCCAAGGCCCTGCCTGGTTGGAAGTTTGCTTATTATGCCCTACACTTTAGCCACGTGATTTTTTTCCTGCTCTGGGGCATTTGCTGCTCCTTTTTCTAGATGGAATGCTTTTATTCCTGGCTCTTTGCATGTCTGATTTCATATTTCTTCATGGGTGACAGAGTTTAGAGCCTACACATTTGGCCTAAGCCATAGCTTGTAAAGAACAGGTTAAGATTTTCATTACCTTTTGAAAAACCTATTGAAAGCCTTTTGTGACTCAAAGCAGTGACAATATATTATGGTATTCATCTGGGCTTATCCATGTGAAATTTTCCCTATATAGTCTTATTTTGGGACAGAAACCATTTTTTTTTTGAGATGGAGTCTCACTCTGTCACCCAGGGTAGAGTACAATGGCACAATCTTGGCTTACTGCAACCTCCGCCTCCCAGGTTCAAGCGATTCTTCTGCCTCAGCCTCCCTAGTAACTGGGATTACAGGCACCTGCCATTATGCCCAGCTAATTTTTGCATTTTTAGTAAAGATGGGGTTTCACCATGTTGGCTAGGCTGGTCTTGAACTCCTGACCTCAGGTGATCCACCTGCCTCGGCCTCCCAAAGTGCTGGGATTACAGTAGTGAGCCACCATGCTTGGCTGAGAAACAATATTTTGTGGGAGAAAATTTCTACCTTCTTCCTTCTCATTTGCTGATTACATGTTAGAATCTGCCCTTACCTGTTGCTTTCTTACTTTTAATTAAATTTAATGATAATAATTGCTGACACTTTTGAGTGCTTCTTGTGTGCCGTGTGTGTGTGTGTGTGTGTGTGTGTGTGTGTGTATATGTATTCCTGGAGTACAATGGTGTGATCTCGGCTCAGTGCAACGTCTGCCTCCCGGGTTCAAGTGATTCTCATGCCTCAGGCTCCCAAGTAGCTGGAATTACAGGCATGCACCACCATGCCTGGCTGATTTTTTTTTTTTTTTTTTAAGTAGAGATGAGGTTTTGCTGTATTGGTCAGGCTGGTCTCAAACTCCTGACCTTGGCCTGCCAAAGTGCTGGGATTACAGGCATGAGCCTCTGCACTCAGCCCATATGTCATTCTAAATACTTTACATGAATTAATTCATTTAATATTCACAATGATATAGGGAGATGAAGGAACTATTACTATCCTTACCTTACTGATAGTAAACAGACAGGGAATGGTTAGAAAATGGGAAAGCCAGGATGTGAACCGAGAAAGTATGGCCCCTGAAACCTTGCTTCTGAGTACTATCCTGTATTAAACTCAAGACTCAAATCTGCCCCTGTCCTTAGATTGGTTCCCACCTTGATGCTAACTGTGTCTGGATATCCCTGGTGTCCTTGACTCTGGCATCTCATGTGTCATCTTAGAGTCTAGACCATAAAGGTCCACATACATCTTAAATGCTTACTAATGACATTGAGATGAAGACGGTGAAGCCCCTGACTTCAGGAAGCTTGTGGACCAGTTATAGTGAGTCACTTATGCAGCAGTATGTACAGAAGGCAGGGGAGCCTTGCCCTTCACTGCTTATGGACTCCCTGACTGCACACAGCCTCTGACTCAGTCACCTTGTCTTGTCCTCTGTAGGCCCCTTGCTTGGCCTTGATGGCCCATTGTGCTCCATATGATAGATGTATCTGTCAGCATCCCAGCAGAATACAGACAACACTCTCAGAGGATGTGGCCGAAGAGAATTTAATGAAGGGACATTCACTGAGTGTGAGCATGGTTGAGGGAACCAACAAGGGAAGGTGAAGCACCCAGAGACTAGCAATAATAGGGAGACATTACCCCTAGGCCTGAAGGGCCAAGGGAACACTGGCAAGATCTGGAGCCTTGGATCTGGGACTCCTGATAGGAACTCTCACCAGAGAGGAATGCAGCCACTGGTTATGGTAAGGTCGTTCTGCTGCTATTGGAAAACCAACTGGAATTCCAAGGACAAGGAGGCCTGGGTAATGCAGTTCTTAAAAAGTCAGCCTCCTAGGGTCTAGAACAAGTCCAAGAAGAGTGGGGAGTGGATTGGGAGGGGAGAGTGGGTTTGAAAGGAGAATAAGCAGCCCAACAGACAACTTACTACCCATTTCCGATTACTTCATTTTCCATGCCCACTCCTTTGACCTGTGTTAAGTCATTCATCCGTCCATCCATCCATCTGTCCATCCATCCATCCATCCATCCTGAGCACTTAGTGCGTATGAGATCTGTGTCAGACCAGGAAGCCTATAGCAATAACCAGTTCTTGCCCTGAAAGAATTCATAGTGTACTCTTGCAGTTCCTAGCTCTGCTCAGCAGTTTGGATCCTGGTGTTCCCATCTGTTTCTGTCTTCCATCGTTATTCCCAGGAAGCAATGACTATCAGCAATCATAGTCCCCTTCTGATAAGCATTTCAAAGGGCACTGTATCAGCAAGAGCTCTTTCAGCTACAAGTGACAGACAACCTAACTCAAATTGGCCTAAACAAAAAACAAACTCCAAGTGGAGTTTAGTGGCTCTTGGAAGTGAGCACGTTCTGTCTTCAGGCTGTGATCCAGAAGTCCAAATGCTCACTTCTAAGGTGGCTGTAGCATCAGATTCCACAAGGTGCCAGGATGACTGCCAGCATCTCCAGCCTATCTCCCTCTGGCAGAAAACAGTAGAGAACGCTCCCCTCTACCGCCCTGCAGAAGTCTCTTTGCATGTCTGAATGATTCTGTCATGGGCCTGTGATCTATCACGAAAGCCTGTGGTGCTCCACAGGGCAGGAATGAGTCATATGTTCACTCTGGAGCCAAGGGAGGGCTTAGTGTCATTGGAAGCCTAGGCACTAAGAGAGAGGGAGCAGTTGGATGCTTGGGGGCAAGATCTAGGGGCCCTAAAGGTGAAATAGCATATAACTGAACCTGCTATGGGCAGAGTGTCCAAGTTATTAACCCTGTCAAACCTGAACTAGACCAGATATACTTTGGATTTTTAGTTTTTAATTTTGTCTCTAAAAGGCACCCGCCCATGTTTATGTTCTCTTTCTCCTTAAACTAGAAACTAGAACACAAAAGACCATCCTTTTTAAAAAATCTCATTCCTTTAATGGAGTACCTTTAGAAGAAAAAAGAAAGCTTTACATGTATGATTTGCATGGAATCAACTTATAACAAAGCAGGACGAACAGGGTCCACTTAGTTGGCTGTTGGTTTTGCAGGTTTTTTGAAGTAGAAATACAATTTTTTTTGTTTTTACTCAGAATTCATTTGGCATTAAAGGCTCCCCATAATGTGGTTTCATTAGTTGTGCACTTTAATCCAGATGTTGTGTGGACTTTGGAGTCAGACAAAAATCCCAGTTTAAACGTTTAAAGAGCCGTATGTGCTTGGTCAAATCTACCATCTCTTTTGTGTTTTGATTTCTTCATTGGAAAATGGAGAGTAGTAAGTACCATCCACTGCCAGATACTCTAATCACTACTTTCTCTCTCTCTTTCCATATAGATATATATGGGAATATATGTATAGAATGTACATATATTTGTATCTATTCTCTCATATATATATCTCATATATCTTTTTGATATATACATATCAAATATACATTTGATATATACATATATATGTCATATATATATCTCCTTGATGTGAGTGGGTATATAAGCTCTCATTTAATCCTTGCAATAACCCTGCGAAAAGTAGATGATTCCTCTCTTACACATGAGGAGAAAGGATCAATGAGATAAGGAACAAGCTCATGTTCATACAGTAACTGTATTTACTAAGCACAGTTCTAGAGACATGGGAAGCACTCCATAAGTAAAACAGCAGCTATGGTAAGTTTTTAAAAAATCAGATAATAGAAATGTTAAAACAAGAATGGAATTTATTAAGTGCTAAATATTTTACATTTTTAAGCTTCCGAGATTTAAGTCCACTGATATTAAAAGCTGCCTTGTAGTAGAAACAGTATAGTGGGGAAAAATTAGTCCTTTTATAAAATCGGGAAACAATTTTCCAACATCTCTTGAAATAACTGGAGATATCTGGGAAGATTACCGAACCTGATTGAAGAATCTCAGATCCCAAGAAAGCATTGTGTACATTTGGCTTATGAATATTGGTAGTTTTTATATACTAAACCTTACTCGTTGACTTGGTTATATGTAACTCTGTGTTTCCTTTTTTATATTTTAGATGGAGCAGATTAAAAGGGCCAATAAACTGTTTACCAATGACTGTATATTTCTGAAGAAAACTTTGAACATCCCAGTTATATCAGAGAAGCCTTTGTTGTTTAATGGACTTAACTCCATTGATTCTCCAGAAAATGAAATTGTTGATAACAGTTTTTCTCAGGAAGAGGGGCCAGTGGTGGCCGGGGAAGACCTCCCTCCTCCCAGTCCTCAAGAATCTGATGTTCAGCCTGTGCAGCCTGAGGAAGTATCAGCCAGAGATTTCCTGCAGAGACTTGACTTGCAGATTAAGTTATCAACACAGGCAGCCAAGAAGCTAAAAGAAGAGAGCGGGTAAGAATACCCTGGTACAAATGTCAAAGTCTAAAGAAATCACTATTAAGATGTCCTTGCTGGGCCAAATCTTTCTTTTCTCTCTTCTTTTCTTTCTTGCCTTTCCTTTTTTTTTTTTTCTTTAAAAACTGCATTTTAGTTCTAGAAAGGCATTTTTAGTATGTAAACTCTAAACAGAGCTGCTGCCTGCTGCACAAGGCTTTATCTGTTGCAGCGTTATTATCTGTTATTTACTATAAAAAGTTTGCTTCTTTTCTTTAATAGCATCACTGTCCAGCTAGCAATTCTGGATAGCAGCAAAGTAAAAGCGTCTCTCTCATGGACACGTTCAAGAGAAGCAGTGTCATAGCAAATACTTGTAAAATGTTGATCTTTATAAAACTTGTCAAAGACATTGTCTGTTATTTGTTACTGAGTATTTCCTATGTAAGATCTCATGCAAGCTTTTTTCTTTGTTTTTAAAATTTGATATTAGGACAAACTTTTCTCTCTCCTATAGGAATTGGTTTCCTGTTTTCTTTATGATTTGATTTCAGAAAAGTACAATCTACTGTTTCCTTTTTTGCTGTGGTTACTGGGAAGCTTGCAACTAAAATTGATACCTGGGTTCAACTCCTATAATATTTCTTATGATTAATACATTGGTTTCCTTCTCCTTTCCTTAGTCCTGATTTTTTTATTTCTATTTTTTTCATCTTATTATATATATGCCCTTTGTTGTTGGTACCTTAAATCCTTTTGAGAAAGAGGTGAAATATAGAAAACATAAATATAAATATGAATATAATTTAGTATAGATTTAAAATATATTTAAATGTAATATAGACAAATATAAATACATGAATGATATTATTTATTCTCATAACTGAGATACAAATAAAATGGAGATAGTAAGGTATATCTTAAGTATTGGCATTTCATACAATTTTCTAGGCATGTACAATATTCTAATTGATATATTCTTTCTTTGGCAAGTGGATATTAAATTGTATAATAAGTTTATGTTTTAGGTTTCTGAATACAGTTCTAAACACTGATTTATGCTGTATTTATTTTCTTTCAGAGATGAAGAAAGTCCCTATGCAACTTCCCTCTATCACAGTTAGGTGATTTGGGGGCATAACTCTAACCAAAATTAAGATATGTTTGGACCTTAAAGAATCCAACAACTGAAGATTCAAAAACATCCCTTCTGGATTCCTATAGTGTCCATCTTAAAATCATAACTAGGTAGTTCTACCTGCTGCAATTGCACTGAAGTGATTAGTTCCCTCTGGCTTTCTATAATTTTAAGTCTTTATTATGGCATGATGGCAAGGTTGTATCCTAAAGCTCATCACTTTTGTAGGTGGTGTTAGTTTTTAGACTAGCTTTTATAAATACTAATTGACATAAAGCATCAAAGACTATTTATATATTTAGGCTAAAAATAATGTTTATCTCCTTATGCAATCCTGATCATGTGAAAATATGGTTGCTGTTTAAGTGATGCTGAATTTGCTGTGTGTTTATAACTTAAGTGCTATATATATATTTCGATATGTCTTACGTATTCTCTATTAATATAAAGAACCAAATTTTGTCCGCTATTTTGTAACAATAAACTAGAAAGCCTGAATGAGAAAATAAACTATGTTTTTAAACTTGAGTCTTCATTTTTTTAACAAATGAGAAAATAAAATTGACTTTTAAATTATATATTTAAATGGTGACAGCTCCTTCTTCACTTTAATGGTTTTTATTATTATAAATGCAATTTTGAAAAAAGTATTACTAATCTAAAAGCAAATCAATTACAATTACTGGTAATCTTGGCATTTTCATTGACCTAATGTGATTCAGATATGGTGAAAACATGGAATAAATCAAAAGAACAAATAAATAATACCATAATCTGACATTATATTGCAGAATTCTAGTTTAGATTTCATTGCTAAGTTACTTTATGAGTGTTTGGTGTCCTGTACTTATTTAAATTGATTTTTATTCTCATAATTTAATTGGTCTTTATTATATGTATAGATTACAGTAGTACACTTTAAGCAATATATCATTTATAATTAAATATTGTTTTGGTCTCAATTTCTGTTCAACTGTTAGATTAAATAAATCTTTAGGCTTCCACAAAAAATCCCCATATCTACCCCATCCCAGCATAGCAAAAATACTTTCACTTTCTTCTTTTTGTTATTTTTTCTCCTCTTTCTTTTATCTTCCCTTGTTTTCTTTCCCTCATTGTGCTTCTCCAGCTCATCCATTAAGCAAGAAACAAGTGCCCATAGGTGTTAATGTATCAGAGCTTGCAGAATTAGAACTGCATATATCCAACCCCTGAGGCTGACCAACTGCTGCATCAATGGGAAACAGTAGCTGTCAGCCCTTTGTCTTGCTGATTTTTTTGTTTGTTCCTAACATACATAATCCCTGTGTCTTGTCTTTTTTTCTCACATTATAGGATCTTTAAAATAGGGTACCCTCTTGATCATGCTTTGCTGTTTTCTTGTATTCACTACCTGAACTGTGGGGAGTTAGTTGGATGAAGAGAGACCTAAATGAAAAAAAATAAGAGGAGAAAAACAGGTATGCGTGTAAGAAAAGGTTCAAACAAACATCTGTGGTGGCCTAGGAACCATTAAAAATGTAGAATTATCATGCTATTTAACATAAAATGTTCTGAAATTTGAGAGTAATCCAAAATACGTAACAGCTCAAATTTGAAATTAAGACCACAATCTCAAAAACATTTTTTTTCTGAGTATTTTATTCTTGCCTAAGGTCTCTCTTAGCATTCTCTAGCCAAAACGTTGGTCATCTTCAAGTTATTAGTAACTTGGAATTCTTTGTGGCCACAGTTAAACTATTCTGGACTGAGTACTTTAGTCCCTACCTTGCACATAGAATCGCTGGAGTGGGCTAAGAGACAAGAAACTTAGGTTCTATCCCAACGTTACCATTTCTTGGCTGCATGAGCTGGAGCATATCCTGTGCTTTTGTTCCCTTTGTGAACCAGTTTCCTCTTTCATAAAACCGGACTGATGATCTTCCTTTTGTTTTGGTTATGGATAGGAGCTAATGAATGCCAATGTGCTTTGAGAACCATAGTAAATTCCCTAAGTACGTTTCTTATTTTTAAAAATACTGCTTATTTAGATTCTTTATAGAAAAGTGAATGGATAAAATGCTTTAGCCAGCACCAGTTTATTGTCTGATGCACACGCAGCCTGTTTGGGTATGGCTGAATCGGAGTCAGTCATGTTATCAAAGATGACTCATGGAAACCGTCTGATTCACTGTTTTGGCAAGTGTTATTTGGACAAAGGTGTTTTTAGTTCCCTGTCCCCACTCACAGATGGGTACTGGCTTCTCTAGAACATACTGAGTTTAGTTCGTGTGTGTGTGTGTGTGTCAGGCTTTGGCTTTTGTTTGTTTTTGCAACTCTCTGGAGAGGATGGGAGAAGAAAACAGCTTTCCCCCACAGTCCCCACCAAAAGGTGGGATACCAGGTAGGGGCATTCAGGACAGCAATGCAGGTGTCAAAGACTGTTTGAAACAGTGACAGCTAATGTGTCCAGAGTTGGTTCCTGCCAGTGGGTTTGTGGTCTTGCTGACTTCAAGAATGGAGCCAAGGACCTTTGCAGTGAGTGTTATAGTTCTTAAAGATGGCACTGACCCAAAGAGTGAGCAGTAGCAAGGTTTATTTTGAAGAGCGAAGGGACAAAGCTTCCACAGCGTGAAAGGGGACCAGAACAGGTTGCCGCTGCTGGCTGGGGTGACCAGCTTTTATTTCCTTATTTGTCCCCTCCCATGTTCCCTTTTTGCCCTATCAGAGTGCCGCTTTTTCAATCCTCCCTGCGATTGGCTACTTTTAGAATCCTGCTGATTAGTGCATTTTACAGAGTGCTGGTTGGTGCATTTTACAGAGCGCTGATTGGTGTATTTCACAAATCTCTTGCTAGCTACAGAGCACTGATTGGTGTGTTTTACAGAGCACCGATTGGTGCGTTTTACAATCCTCTTGTAAGACAGGAAAGTTCTCCCAGGCCCCACTCGACCCAGGAAGTCCGGCTGGCTTCACTCTAATACACAAAGCATTATGTTATTTTTACAATTTGAAGTAAATATATAGAAAAATATGTATGTAATTAATTTACACCAAGTAATACATTTTCAAAGCATTCTCTGGTTTGGGAACATTAATTATTAACATTTCAAGAGGACCTTGGGCCACTGTATGTTTCCAGGGCTGTGTTTGTGGTGGGGGCTGAGTTGCAGGGACCTGAAGTTCATTAACCTTTCCCTCCAGGGAAGCTGCTCTACCAGCTTTGGATCACAAGGAAGGAATGATTTTTATCTCGATTTCTACCCTACTGCCTGGCCCTTTGCTCTCTGTTGGGAAACCTTGGCTTGGATCTAATCCAGTTTAGATAACTGAGATGTGGCATACATTTTTACCTTGCTTTATGCAGTGTTTATGACCTCATTTGTCTTCTTAGAGAGTGCATAAATATCTCTATAAGCAAACTCAAGTCTGAAAAGTCACTAATAGGAAGTGTTAAGAGCAGGGCGAAATTGTCAGTAAATCCAGCAAATCCTATACCCATTTACCTGGATCCTTTTTATGTCACTGGGCCTAATAAAAAGCCAGCTAAAAAGAGCAGCCAAAAAAGCAGATAGCTCCTCCAAAGCTACGAGACTTTGAGAAAATGTGAATTTACTTCAACTCCCCAAAGGGAACTGCTAGTGGAAACGACATCCTGTAATAGACATACTCTGCAAGGTGCTTTGGTACCTGGCATACCTTGAAAACAGAACCCACTTAATTCTTCAGGGAGTGCTTGTGTGGATGAGACAGTGAGTTTTAAGGTCAGTCCATTAGAGGCTTTTTCAAAGCAACATATTCTGATTATAAAATATAAGTCTATGAGGAAATAAGGATTCTGTATACAAAATCTCAGCTTACATACAACTTTACTTTCAGATAGTTTTTACGGGAAGAAAGCTATGTTTTAACCACTTGTAAAAGGTTAACTACTGTAAATTCAGCACTTTCTAATAACCCTTGGGTCAAAAAATTTTAGTAACAGAATTAGAAGTGTTTTAAGCTATATTATGTTTTCTGAAACAGTTGAAAGACTCCTGGATCTTTTGCCATTTTTACAGGCTGCTATAAATGCGCTTAATGGCCTCAGCTTCTTCCTTGTCAAGGATGCCTTTCTCCACATAAGCATCAGCTTGTTGGTTGATGAAATCTCTCATCTTCGAAAGGTCATAATCTGGAAAATATTATTACAGCATCATGAACAAAGATCAGGAAAGGCCAATCCCATTACAGTGATTACCATTAACTGAGAAGCATTTTATATGATAACACAATTACCATTCTCCATTTTTCACATTGGGAGACATTTTAATTCGTGGCATTTGTGCAGTACTTTGCGGTATAAAATAATGTTTACATGTATTATCTCATCTGCTCTTCATCACAACCCTGTGAGATGTTCAGGTGAGTCATACCATCCCCATTTGACCAAACAGGAAATAGGCTCATGACCAGGGCTTTGCAAACTTTAATGTTTATACCAAACACCTGGGGCTATTGGGAAACAGCAGAGTCATATTCAGTAGGTCTGGGGTGAGGATCCAGGTTATGCATTTTAAACAGCTGTCAGGTGATACCGATGCTGTTGGTCCAGAAACCACACTTGGGGGTTAAGTGGCTTGTTTAAGGTCACATAGGTAGTAAAAGTTATGATCAGAACCAGGTGTTCTGACTTCCTGACTTACACTAGGTTTAAGTCCCTGTTGATGTGACAAACCACTTTTTTTTTTCAAATTAAGAGTTACTTTATTTCATGCTATTTGAATTGTATGCAAGGAGCAAAAAGCCAAACTGTAAACTCTTTTTGGTTCCTCTGTCCTACTTAAACAAACAAACAGACAAAATCTGTATAAATTGTCAAGACACCCACCAAAAATAAAGATTTCCAGGTAAGAAGGCTGCCTATGACACCTTGCTGAAAGTTTTAAAAACCCCCATTTTCTCTTGATCCTTTAAATATTAAGCAATTATAGCTATAAATGACTAGAGAGAACCCTGCTTTCTGTTCATTGGTAAGGAGGAGAGAAAGGGGAGAGTGGGTATAAAAGGGTGGTTTAGCAGCCACCCTTAGCGAGCCTGAATGTAATCTGAGCCTGGGTCACTTGGGTGTCCTTAAGCTCCTATGAGAAAGGAAAACGAACCACAAAGGACCTCTCTACAATCACTAAGTGAGTGAGGCTTAGACAGGGCTTATTTCCTCTCCGGCAAGCAGGACATCTGCTCCCTTTTAGGGGACAGCCATGAGGATTGAAGGAGAAATCCCAGCACTGAGCACTTTACAGCCATCACCTTAATTGCTCCCCACAAAACCCCATGAGGTTGTACCCTATGACATCTTTCTTTCTTTCTCTTTCTTTCCTTCCTTCCTTCCTTCCTTCCTTCCTTCCTTCCTTCCTTCCTTCCTTCCTTCCTTCCTTCTTTCTTTCTTTCTTTCTTTCTTTCT